CTAGGCTACAACAGTAATATTAATCCGAACTTAACTCATCGGCGAAAGGCGTCGTTAAAAATTTTCTTCTTTGTCTTATCATCTACACACACACACACACACACACACACATATATATATATATATATATATATATATATATTATGGCTGGCTACTCTGCTTTTCTGAATACACCTGTCGCTATGGCGGCTAACCAATCCCTGTCGCACGCTCCTTCTCAGGCACATTAGTATTTGTTCAACATCCACAGAGCCCACCTAGCGTTTATACCAGCAATTCTCAATGTTCACCCTTAGGCTCGCAAAGTGGGCCTGAGAAATTTTAAAAATGGACCTGGAGGTGCAGCTTGAATAGATTTACATCTGAAGCTGAAGGCTTGAAAGTTCAACTTGACAAGCTGATAGATAGATACCAGGAGCAAGTGTAGTTGTTAGTCAGGATTTATATTTTCTACTACATTTTGCTTTTGTGAATAAAATGCATTTCCTGTTAAATGCAATTTCTATTTGCACTTATTTGGTCTTGAAATTCTTTTAACGCCAAAAATGGGCCACAAAGAAGAAAAAGATGAGAAAAAACACTGGTTTATCCTGCAACTATGATGGGTGGAGATTAGTTTATAGTTTCTGGGAGAGAACGCATAAGCTGTCATGATCAGGAGTTTGAAAAACGACAGTACAATTAAAGCCTCGGTCACGATGACTTGTGTCTTTATGCTAGTACAAACATCCCTACCGTCTATCTAATTTCACTTACATGGCTTCGATAAGCCTGTATGGTGTTCATATACTTTCCAAATGTGCCGAATGCTGTGATCGCCAGACATATAACATCAAGGATTTGTATTCCTTACAAATAGACCAGGGTGAGATTAGAACCTTGTCGGAATGCGAACATTCTAACCTCTAAGCCACGCACCAATATATATATATTCTAATCTCACCCCTGGTCTCTTTGTAAGGAATGCAAATCCTTGATGTTATATATATATATATATAATTATATATATATATATATATATATATATATATATATATATATATATATATATATATATATATATATATATAATTGCTACATTTATGATTTATGAGAGCTTGTTTACAAATTTCGTCTAAATGTATTCATTTTATTTTTCGTAAATTTAATCATTCATATTTTTTTTTAATTTAAAAATTCGTTTAAAAAATAAAGTAGTCGGCTTTTGTTATTATTAATGACAATTGATTATATTTTTTTAACAACAGTAAAAGAAGTGCTTTAAGTAGACGCAGACGTTCGTCAATTTTGTTGGCGTTTAAGATTCCTCTAAGACAGGCTGTTGTGAATTACAATTTTGACATATTTTATAAAACCCGTAAAAAGTGCAGTATCATTTCTCTATACATATATAGTGGCTTTTTAAGTATTTCTTTGAGGCTGTCTACAGATAAAAACGGTGTTTAAAGCACCTTAAATCTATATATGGGAAGAGATAAAAAAAACATTTCATCGGACAATCGTATTCCAATGTCAAAAGTATATCTTTTTATATGGTGCCATCTAACAGCAATCACTCTATAACGCTGTCGGGTACATATTTTTGCGTATGCAAAATTAATGCTGTTATATATATATATATATATATATATATATATATATATATATATATATAAATGGGGTGCGATATAATAAAACTAATAATGACATCTCATTTTGATAGATATATTATTTACCAAAATTATACAAAAATATCTTGAAATGCTAAAGAGTAAATTTAATTATTAACATCTTCATTGGTTTCAACCCTGGCCTACAGATGACTTCGGAATCTTCTGCATCTCTTCTGGACGATTTCCTTGTTTAAATTGGTGTATGCTACCATAATCCTTGCCTTCAGTTCATTTTGGGTGTTACAAGGAGTTCTGTTGGTCTTTCGCTCAACTGCGCCTCACATAATAATCAAAGGGATTTCAGTTTTAGAGTTAGGTGGCCAGATGTAACAGGGGGATATATATATATATATATATATATATATATATATATATATATATATATATATATATATATATATATATATATATATATATATATATGTATGTAGTATGTAGGTATGTAAATAAAATATATATTTTTAAATATAAATATATAAATAGGGACCAAATATAGGTCAAATATATATGAGAATCCAACAGAATGGTAGAAAAACGATTTTCTGATGAAACTTAAATGTTAATTTTATAAATGTTTCTTATTTGTTCCTTAACTTATAACACACACACACACACACATATATATATATATATATGAAACAAATGTAGTTTTAAAGTTTGGCATTCATGGTTAAGATATGGTTACTCAATATCAGTGATAAAGTGTATGTAAATATGAAACAGACACTTAGGCCAACACTGAGCGGCACCAGTCTGTTTTATGGTTGAACGCAATCTTTATTCTTTCTATCTCTCTCTCTCTCTCTCTCTCTCTCTCTCTCTCTATATATATATATATATATATATATATATATATATATATATCCTTTTAAAGTATTATAGGTGAAGTCATGAATAAATGTATCTAGATTAGATATATAAATATAAGTATATTTCTATATGTGCATGTATGTGTATGTGTGTATGTATGTATATATATATAGGTATATGTATGGATATGTGTGTATATGCATAAATATTTACCATTTAAGCATTAATGTCATTAGTATCATATATATATATATATATATATATATATATATATATATATATATATATATATATATATATATATAATACTTATCATTTACTCATTAATATCAATTGTTTTACAAAAAACGCCAAAAAAAAAAAAAAAAAAACCACCCAAAAAACGAAAAGGAAAAAACTAGATGGCCAAGGATGAAAGTCGGTTACATGTCTAGAAAATTGAAACAACTTACGACAAACCGCAACTGTCGAAAGAAAAGAAGAAAAAAAAATAGAAAAAGCTAAAGAGCGAGTGTAAAGTGAAGAAAAAAAATGAAGGAAAGGGCAAATGGTCACGACACCCTACGCGCGCGAAGCATATCCGCACAGACGGTCGCATGGCTGTACGCGCACAAACGCCCACACGAACACGAAAAAACCTAACACCAATGATAAGTGTATAAAAAGAAAAAAAAAACATTGAAAAATAGAAGCAGTAAATTGATGATAACCCCTGAAGAGTGGACTAGCGAAAGAAATGAAATTCACCAGGTTACCATGAACCATAGCCCATAGCCAACGTGATTGGCTGATTAGGAATTTGTATTAAAGTACATTCGTTCACGTATGCTCAGTTAAGTGCTTTGTCATACATATTTACCCCCAAATTGTATTTGATATATAAAAAATTATCGTTATCCCATATATATAATATCAAATCATATGTCATATGTATCAATTCTACAGATTAGGTTTTGCGAGAAAGTAGAAAAGATTATTGAGTAAATCATCTGTAGGTTGTATACCGCAGTTTAATTGTTTGGGCTTTAAGCAAATTTAACTGAGCACTACTAACGACTTCTGGAATCAAATTCTGTCAGGTGTTTCATTGAATTTGAATGAAGTCAACTGGTTGTATTCTCCAGTCTCTTATAGTAAAACATTTGACTAAATTTGTCTGAGGCATACGTATGACAACTTGAGCCTAAATGGTAAGTTGTTCAACTAAATCTAATAACTTTGTAAAGAGTTTGACGAAAGGTCTTCTGATTGTAAAGTATAGTCTAATTGCTAAACCGTATTACTAAAATATGAATGACGTCTTATGTTTGTCCAGTTGTTAAAGAGGCTTGTCGGTTGTTTTCTGGAACGTGATTGTCAAGAAGTTTGACTAAAATTAAATGATGTCCTTTTCTTGTTTTCTAAAGCATAATTGTTTAATCGCTTGACTAAGTTTGAATGATATCTACTGGTTGTTTGTGTAGTGCAAGTGCTAAGGCGTTTAACTAAATTTGAATGACTTCTGGTTGATTTATATTGTCATTATTCGTATTGTGAACGTAAGCACAATACGATTTTTATGCCATGATTTTCAGTGACGGGAAAATATCACTGGAAGAAAACATGGAAAATGGTGAAAAATTCAGTTTATTGCAATGAAAATGTCGGCTATATTTCTACAATATTCGATCAAACAAAAACGGAAATGAGCAAGAGTGTAGAATCTGGGTAAGACGCGCGTACGTAAAATTAGAATAGGAAAACTTTTATTACCTGTTAATAATGAACAGATTTTTTTTTATTTTTAACAACGGACAAGAAGATTTTCTGTGGACTGTTAATTTTGCAGCGCTGAAACAGGATCCAATAAATTATAGTTATCATACATAAGTGATGACACACGAAGAAATTTCAGTATCACCGGATTATTCATTTATCTACACAGAAAGAAATAAAAACAGTTGGCGGGATCTTAAAAAATGTTTTAGAAGAAAAAGGAACATTCAAAGCCCACAATTAATGGGAATACATTTGCGCATATATTTTTTGAAAAAAAAATTACAAACGTATTTGATAATTTGATCCCAAATATAAACGATCTGCACGAATATTAAATTAATAATTGTGAGCATGCACATCTGGCCCCAATTCTCTATCATTTGTTTTTGTTAACTTGATTGCTATAAAAGGATATGCCAGTTTAGCATTATACCTACAAGAAATCCTTCGATAAAAAAATGAATAATTTCGGAATGAAAAAATAATAACATTCTAAAAAATCTGCTCGGAGCTCCATTAATAACAACGTTCTGTTTAGTTCTCAGTTTCAGCAAAATGAGTGGGGGTTGAAGAGACCACCCTACCCTGTCCCTTACAGTGCCGTGGGTGGATTGGAGTAGAAAATACAAAAGTAAATCGCTGTTCTGCAATTGAGAACTGTCTCTTTATTCCGATATAGAATGCCTATAGAGAAAGTATTCGAACAAAAGGGGAAATTACTTTATTTAAAACCTATTTAAAAAGTAAACTAAATAACAAGATGTCTTATTCCTATTGGGCTTACGGCCATATAACGTCGAAATATCGGTTCTCGTACGATCATCGAAGTTAAACAACGTCGAGCCTGGTCAGTATCTGGGTGGGTGACAACTTGGGAATACCAGGTGCTGTAAGTTTGGATATGCAGGTGGTGTAACGGCTCGGAATTGAAAATCAGAGAGTTAAGTTCCAATTCCAGTCGGGTGCGTTAGAGTCGCTTACGCGCAGATACCCCTGAGAAAAATATGAATCCACCTCTTCTCCTCCATCTATGGGTTAATTAGTAGGACATGACAAAAAACAACTCTCATGTCTATGGACTACATGACAAAAAACATGTCATTATTATTTCCCAAACATTCAAAAAAATATTTTCTGGCTTTAAATAACTTGAAAAAGGTTGATAAGCCATAAAAACACATCAATCTTATTTCTACTCCCAACCGCACGAAAAAGATAAAAGGTCAATATCAATGTTATTACGAATGTTTATTGGTCGCTTTACAATGATCAAAGCTACGCATTTACATGGTGTCGTGTACCTACTTGAGTATGCGTTTCATGACATGCAACGCTAATGTCTATGCAATTCCTTTAATCGTTTCATGTTAACCGAATATGACAGATGTGCCCTTTAGTGATCGACCTATTTACTCAAACCATGTTGCTGAATATCACATGTATATATATATATATATATATATATATATATATATATATATATATATCTGTGTGTGTGTTTATGCATGTATATATAAACAAACATAATATATTTCATTAATAAAAACGATAATGTGAACGGTCACGTGAAGACGCAAAGAACATATATTTGCAAATGAGGAAACTTACAGGTACAAAAATCAAAAAATTAGGAAACTTACAAAAATAAAAAAAAAATAATTATTGGATAATGATTTATGAAATTTCAAAATACTCTGACTCTGAGCTAAACGTATATATATATATATATATATATATATATATATATATATATATATAGAAAAGCGATAGATAGACAGACAGACAGAGAAAGAGAGAAAAAAGAAGCGAGAGCAATTGTCTGTCATCCTGAAATTAACTTGAACTAAACAGTAATTCAATGGCATATTTGGAATTATCTAATATTTTAAGTGTGTTTTGTTTTTCCTTTTTGCTCCCTCTTCTTCGTTTATTCTTCCTTTTTCTTTTCTCTTCTTTTCTTGTTCAATTCTGCAATCAAAAATAAATTCTTTATTCTTTAAGTGAATCACGCCTCCTCCTATTAATACCAAAAGCCATAAAGCTTTTTCTCGGTTTTCTATTCCAATCATTCTTTTCTTCATATCTGTCATAACATTCACGAGTTTATTGTCTTTCAGGATTCCACCCACGTCTTTTCTAAATACAACAACCATTCCTTCTAATTGGCTCGACTATTTTTCACAGTGAATGTCTTTTCCCAACCTTCGATGCAAGCCTCTTTTCAGTTGAAATCTTTATTTTAACCATCGACAACATTATCTTTGGGCATAATGACAAAGGGGCAATTGAAAGTTTTACAGGTTTCTTTTGAAAATCGCAGATTTTACTACAATGATGGTTAGAAATTTGAACGAAGAAATGATGCCTTCATATTTAAAAAAAGAAAATTATTATTTAGACGAGAGGAGTTGTTAACTTAGTGTAGTTGTGTGTAACCCAAACTTTAAAATTATTTCTTTTATTGTAGTCCATAGACATGAATGTCGTTACTCGTCTTGTGGTCCGTAGACATGAAAGTTGTTTTTTGTCATGTAGTTCATAGATATGAAAATTGTTTTTTGTCACGTGGTCCAATAGACATAAATGGTGTTTCTTGTCTTGTATTCCATAGATATAAAAGTTGTTTTTTTTGTCTTGTAGTCTATAGACATGAAATTTGTTTCTTGTCTTGAAGTCCATAGACATGAAAATTGTTTCATGTTTATTGCTCTATAATTTCGTTCTTTACAAAACCTGTTTTATTTCAAGAAAGATTTATGGACACTTCATTCCGAGATTCATTTTAATATCCTTGAAAAGAGTCATATTTAAAAAGTGATAAATACTTGTGGTCACTTGTTAATAATGAGTTATATCCTAGCTCAGTGATTTTTCATGTGACATTGTTGTGCTCACACTAAACAAAACAAAATGCTACCAGTTGCAATTAGCTGCTAAATATATATATTTCGTAATCGGTATCACCCATTCAAGGCAATAAAGCCACTAAGGCATAAGGAGTGACAGGATGTGGAAGAATTAAGAACAGAAACATTAATAATGAACGGAAAGATGAAAGAATAATGGGGAGAACAGTAGATAGCGATTGACATTGCATTTAAATTTTTGAAGATTAAAGTTGGCTGGAAAACATCGAGCCGGAAGTTTTAGTTTGTATTGTATCAATATTAGGTTGTATTCACAATCATTTAAGACGAATAGATTCATTGAAATCTTTAATATATTGAGTCATTTGAAATGATTTTATATACTAGAAAATATATTTAAAAGAAATACAACTACTTATTTTTAAGCAGAAAGAAAGATGAAATATTTATTTTGAGAGACGGAACCTGTTCATACTACGGTGCTTTTAAAAATTTCTCTTTGGAGAAATATTAATAAAAATTGACGTATTTCAAGAAAGAATTATGGACACATCTACCCGAGGTTCATCGAAATTTACCTGGAAATGGCCATTGTAAAGAGCCATAAATACTTGTGGTAAATTATTAATAAGGATTTATATCCTGAGTGATTATTTATGTGGAATTGTTATGTAGACACTAAATAAAACAAAATGGTATCAGTAGTAATTAGATTCATTGTTTTCATAAAGCTAAGACCACAATGGTTTCAGGAAAGCGATTCATATCAGCATAAAATATATAAAGATTTACAAGAAAGAGCCAGATTCAACACAAGGCTAGACTAAACGAGTACACATCTAAGATATGAGCATGCGTAGCTAGGCACTTACAAATTGCTCTGACGAAGGAGCTCTACGCGAAATATTAGGCTGTACCCTGAAGTTTTAGATTCACAATGATTTATGATTTGGTGTTATCAAGATGAATTTAAGTAGATCTGTAATATATTAAATCATTTTAGGTTTTATCATATGATAATTGTGTTATATATTTAGGTTGTATTTAACAATATTTGGTTGTATTCTGAATGATTTAGCACTAATAGATTCATTGAAATTGGGTCATTTGAGAGAGGAAACCTGTTAATACTACGCTGGTTTCAGAAATTTCACTTTGGGAAAATATTCAAAATGACTCTTGAGAAAGAAGCAGCCGAGAAAAAAATATTGAAAATAACCGAAAAAAAAAAAAAAAAATTCACGATCTTTCAACAAACTTTGGCGTAGATCCTAGAAATGTGTTATTGTCATTTCATTCTGAAGGAAAGAGGAAAAGATGGATTCAATATGGTCAGAAATAAGGAACTGCTGTATTTTGAAGTGTCCTCATTGCTTAGTCGCTACAATAACCACCCATTCCTGGAACACTTTCTTGATAGAAAAAAATTATAATTTACGATAATAATAAACGTAAAATTTGATTAATACCAAGTTATTTATATTTCATTTTTTTCTGTCAAATTCTGAAAGTTGGTGGTTGTTTGATTCTGTTTAGCGGCATATCAAATTCTTTGAATTTGTAATCTAATAGTTTTACAAACGCTTCCATGAAACGTTTCCGGTTAGAATTATAAATTGATTGTTAGCAGGCAAGGAGTTTTATTGAATCAGCCACAAGATTTGGTTTGCTGTCTTTGATACTGGTCGCCGCCGTCGATGAATTTTCATAAATATTGCTTTTACGTTTTAAATAAAGGATTCTTTTTACGATTAAATACTTCTGTAGCAATTAAAATTAATTTATTCTCTAATTTGGCTGGAAATTTTGCCTTTATTATTCGTCAATAGGCATTAACATTTTCGAAGAGCTCAATGTAATGTTAGATCAATGTAATATGAAGGCGCTGTTGAAACCGGTGCACACAAAGAGCATTGTTTAAATTTAAGAAAAACAAAATCCGAATTAAAATTTGAGAAAAGTAAATATCAAATTCTTTTTTAAGTGAATGCACTAACACACTTAAACTGTTCAACATCGGATATTGAACCACAAGATGTGATCGCAATGTTTAAACTTTTTCTTGTACTAAAATTTACCAAATACGAGGCTCGAGAGCGACTCAAGGTAGAGGGAGACTGTTAAAATGGTAATGATAAATGAAATAAATACTTTAAATGTGATGGGAAGTGAAGATTATAACGAAAAGGGGGATAGATAAATATTGGCCCTTGACTTGAAGAAGTCAGGATTGAAGTATTGAGGTAAGCACCCACGTGGGAGCTTGTCCCACAAAATAGTAGTTATTAGAGAAACTGTTAGAAAGAGACCGAAAAAATGATAATCTGAATGTGCTAAGTTCAGAGAATGGGAGGTGCTGAACTTTCAAATCAAGCACTTGAGTCGGGCTTTTGTTCAAATAAGCGACGTGGGGGATGTTGTATTCAAGAAACGGGTATCAAAAATGCTCATTTTTGTCCACTTGGAATTCCGTCGCCTGAAAAGAAGTAAAATTTAAAAAATGATAAAAAAAAGCAAAAAAAGAATCCGAACGACAATGCTAACATAATATAAGGAAATATTTGTCATTCATTGACCGAGCAGCCAGTACCGTTGTTGGTTGAAATTTATAAATTTCTTCAAATTTTTTTCCGGAAAATAATTTTCTCGAGTCTAATATCTGTTAGAGATCTTTCCATTATTGATGGTCGTTTCCTTCCTAACCTTTTATTTGAAGTGGTGCGGAACACTAACATCTTAATCATGTCATTATAGAGATCTTAGAAAATGGTTGTTTTGTGCTGACAATTTAGATATTTTTAAACAGGTTTGGCGCCATGAATGATGTCTATATAAAAGTCTCGATTTGACGGGGCTATTTAGTTTTCAGATTAATATTTTAGCTTTGCAACAATTTGCGGTGTTGATCAAAATTATCACTTGCGCTTCCTATACTATATTCCATTTTCTTTTCTCCTATACAGGTTGACTTATCCTTTGGGTGAAGCAATGAGGAATGAAGTTCGGATTGAGGAATCGGTCGAATC